ATTTCCACATGCAGTATAATTTACTTTATGAAAGTAGTAATTATTGTATCTGTAGCTCTGATGCTGTTTCATGAGTTCTGTAAACTAATATTATTGATATAATATAGTTAACTGAATAATTGCTTCATATAATCCTACTTGTAGTGCAGTCATGATGTCTACCCTTAGGAGAAATGGACTGTAGAGCCTAATGTCTGGCACTCCTTTTACAAGAAACCCTTCTCTAGGACTCCAAAAGACAGCACTATTATTTATGTTTATACACACTTTCCTTGAGGAGGCAAGAAGATGCAAGAAGTAAGGCACTGCTCTGCCTTTAGCAGGCTATTCCTGGTCCTAGCGTGGTGCAAAGGTCTGGCTTTGGGTTCCTAGCTACAGGCCTGCACTAGGAAAGAGATTAGATCACGTCAGGAGAAGCAAGCAAGATCTATTGCCAGATAAAATTTATCATGTCTTTCCTTCCATATTATGCCATAAAGCAGGGTCAGAACAAGTTAAAGGCCATATAGAATGGAGAATTTTACAGGCCTTTAGTGGACAATTTTCTTCCCTGTCCCATCTGGACTGGTGTTGTTTTGTATCACTGTATCCTCCCCAAACATCTCCCTCAAGATCAAACTACACATGCCCCAAACCAAAGCAGCTTTGTGCTACTCCTTGTGAATATTCCTTGCTGTTTAGTCCAAAGAGGAACCAGTTTTGAGACAAATACTTTATCTGATATGTATTAAAAAACAGTGTTCCTAGGAGCCCTGGAAAGGCAGCACAGGAGGACTGCCAGGAAGTAGACTCTAAGATTCCAAAAAGCTTCAGCAACATCTGTTTGTCATCACCCCCAAAATTGTATGATCTTATCTGTGATGGCATGTCTGAAATGAGTTTTAGGATATACAACTCTGTGAAAAGGATCCTGTCTTCTTTCCTGACAGAGTTAGTGTTATGCCTGCCAAACTTCATAGGCTCTCTGTTTCCTCTTACCTATGTATGATCAAAGCTGGCAGCTGTTAAGTGATCAAGCTCACCCTGGTGGTAGGTGGACTCTGGCTGGTTATGAGACAAGCACAGCTGCTCTCTCACTCCTCTTCTTCAATAGGACAGGGAAAGAAAATAAGATGGAAAAGTTCATGCATCAAAATAACAACAGGGAATTCATTTACCAGTCACTGTCAATGGGCAAAACAGACTTGGAGAAAATGAATTTAATTTATTGTAAATTAATATAGAGTAGAATGGCGAGAAACAAAACCAAAAGCTAAACCACCTGCCTTCAACCCCCATTTTTCCTCAGGCTCGATTTCACCCTTTCATTCCCAACTTCTCTACCTCCTCCTCCTTCTCTCCCCTGAACAGTGCAGGGGAATGGGGTATGGGGGTTGTGGTCAGTCCACAGAAGGTCCTCTCTGCTGCTCTTTCCTTCTCACACTTTTCCTCTGCTCCAGCATGGGTCTTGCCACGGGCTACAGTCCTTGAGGATAAACCTGCTCTGGTGTGGGCTCCCCCAGGCTGCAGTTCCTTCAGGAAATATCCACCTGCTCCAGCAGCTATCTTCCATGGGCTGCATCTTCCCTGGCATGGCCCTCTCCATAGGCTGCAGGAGAGGCATCATACCCTGACACTTGGAGCACCTCCTCCCCTCCTCCTTTGCTGGCCTTGCTGCTCGCAGGGCTATTTCTCACTTTTTTTTCCTCACTGCCTGTGCAGAAATTTTTTGCCCTTTCTTAATTTTCTTTTTCCTGAGGTGAAAATCAAAGAAGCCTGACCCAGGTCAGTTATAATACAAAACAGCTAAGCTGTTTAAATGCTGAGGGGTAAGATAATACACATATTAAGAAAAAACTTATATCAAATATAAAGAGAATGAGGAAAAAAAGATCTCATACTTCTAGTGCACAGACTGCTGTGTTTGGTACCAACTTTGCTGATAATGTATGTGAAGGCCTTACTCAACAAAACTAAATAAACAGCTAGCAACCTGATAAGGAAAAGATAATACTCCTAAAAGTATCCTGCATGGATGCAATCCTGCATCATGTGCCCTAGGCAATCCTGTTTTAGCAGGAGGGCTGAACTAGATGATCTCTAGAGGTTCCTTCCAACTCTAATGATTCTGTGAACTAGTTTGTGTGACAATGAAAGTATAATTAGCCTAAAGTTAAACGTAAGGTAGGGTGACTACAATTCACGTAAGAGTTTTCTTGTACCTCAAGAAATATTAATACTTTTTTTTTTGGAAAGCAATGACATACATATCTTAAAAAGAAAATGGTGATTTGTCTAAATTGGTAGCTACAAAGAGCAGCCCAGATGACATCAACCTTTAGCTCAGAAAAACAGTATGCTTCTTCCCTTTCTCCCTCCATTTGCCCTGATTTTGCCAATATTCCTACCAAAGTACATATACTGGTGTGACCAAGCAGCCCAGCCTGAATACTGGTTGGTCCAATGGGCTGGGATTACCACCTACACCAATATGCCCTGTCAGCCTGCATGTGCCCTTTCCACCATTTTGTGTGTTGCCAGCCTTTAGTCATGCCTGAGATTTGCTTGGCTCTGCTCCCTCTTCTGTCATCTGTCAGCGCTTCTTATCTGGCTAAAAAGTAAAATTTCTTATGCTGCCTCTTCTCTTCATGGTTTTTTTCTTTTTTTCTTATCCTTCTTCCTTTTCCAGTCATGGCATAGGCAGCATATATCTCAAACAGACCTAGTTCTTTCCATCAGCATACTCTGACCAGTTCAAAAAAGTGAACCTCTGTCAGAAAAAAAGTTGAAAACAGCCTAGAATGTCCCAAGATGTTATGTTCACTCCTTGAGGAGAGATATGTGGGTCTAAGCACTGCTTGCAAATACCCTCATCTCACCCCTCAGTTCCCCATCACTGCCTACTTACTCTGCCTCCTCCAAGGTCTGGTGTTACGAAAATGACTTTTTTTATCCCAGTACAGGTTACTCAGAAACAGAAGCTTAGTCAGAAGGGTCCCTTCTGGGGAGTTGGCGTGGATAGGAATGACAGCCAGATATCCCACTAACGGCATCTCTACAAAAGTTGTTGTGTGCCGTATCTCAGGTCAAACTGGTACTTGCTACTGGCACCATTAAAGACAGTCTATATAGAATATTACTGTATAAACTAGCTGTCCAGTGTTTTGCTGCTGATCTCACTTCTGTGCTAGGGTATGTTGCAAAGTGGTCTTGCAGAACTTTGCTCACCAAGCACTCAGGTAGAAAAGTAACATGCTGCAGGTATCTGTGGAAACGTGATCTGCCAAAGCTGAAGATGATGGCATGAGCTCACCTCATGGGGAAGATTCACCAAGGAATGAACTTGCGACATTGCCACTAGCTTTGTGTGATACAGCCAGCAGTAACGTTAGAAATACATGTGAAGTCTTGGAAAGTTGTCTGGCCTAGGTGACTTGAAGTTTTCTATCTCTTTGGTCTGGAATACACTTAGTCCAGGATGTCTGGAGTAATTTTCTGTTGTCTTTAGCTCAGAGGTAAATATGAGACAAGGTCTTGACACTCTGCTTTGGACCAGCTTTGGTGCATGACCAAATAGATGAACTACTCAGAATATTCTACAAGCAAAAAATAGAGGCCAGAGGAAAGCATGTGTGCTTTCACGAGCATTGAAGCATACTGTTTGGGGAAGGAAGAGTCTATGATATGGGTTACTCCACAGTATTTTAATGTGTGAGTTGCCTGGGAATTTTTGCATACCACTCTCAATCTTGATTTGAAGCTTGACCTGGCAGAACAGGAAGACAGTTTTTCTATAGTGCAGTATTTGAGCCAAAGGAAGGACACTGTTAATTTAGGAAAATCCTTTGAGCAGTTTGGCTGAAGAATCTTCCTTTGAATTGTTTCTGTAATTCTCTTGCAGGTTGTTTTAAAACTTATAGCCTCTGTAGTTTGGGGTATGGCTTCCAGATAAATTCTTAGCTTTATGGGCCCTGCTGACCTCTGCCATATTTTTTTTACTGGTAGACTTTGGTGAACCAAGACCAGTCATGCAAGTCTAGATCCTAAGCTGAACTCCAAGGAATGTGTGCTCTGACCCCAGAACCTAGAAGGATGAAAGGTCTTGTTTTGTGCAGCCATTCAAATAGCCTTGAAGCTTTGCAAATTAGCACTTGTGTTCTTGCTGACTGCTAAGGCCCAAAGGTCTGGTCAGAAAAGATCATACATGAAAAATCTTTATCTATCCATTCAGTTTCCTATGATTTGCATTTTCTCTCAGGTGCTGGATATCAATGACTTAAGCAGCAGTCCGTGTACTACGTTGCATAATACGTCATTGGTATATATTACAAGAAGAAAAGGAACATCAAGAACAATGAATAATCTCCATAGAGGCTTACGAAAACTCATGGGATTGGTCTTGTGGCTGAGGAGCCTCTCAGAATATGCACTGTGGGTGAAACTATATTGGTCAGTCCGAAGATGTCATCAGGCTTTACAGAGTAGACAACAGCAAGACACTTACTGCAGTAATACTGAGAAGCTACCTGATAGAGCAGTGTAGGTGAGATATTGAAGCCCTGTCATTAGTGAGATTGGAACTTGGTGAGTCTTGTTACCAAGAAATTAAATAATTCAAGAGAAGACTGCAAATCCTTGGCAGATTAGCCTTGAAATAGAGCAAGTGAGGAGAGAGGGCAGAAAGAGAGGGAGTAGATAAACAGAAAAGGCAAAAAAAAAAACTTGGAAAGGAGTGTGTGTGAGGGAAAATACTGTAATAGGAATATTGTGAGGTTTGTTTTTTTGAAATAGAAGAAACAATTCATCAGCAAAGGAGAATCTCTGCTTATAATGGCAAAAGGAAATAGAGGATAACGTGTAAAGGTATGGATAACTTTCAGACAGTTATCTTCCCCTAGTGGACTTTTTAAAATTATTTTCAACCCTTGGAAGTACACATTAACACACCTAGAAATTAAGGTAAGCGTCTAGCTCTTCATGCAAAAAACATTCACAGATTTGAATTTATTTTTGTCTTGCAGATCCACAAAGACTCACCCTGGGCCTGTTGTACATTTAAGTGACAGCCCAAGAGATGAAGGAAAAGTGAGTACAACTAAGGGTTTAAAAATTGCAACGTTTCATAGTGGTTTTTTGCCTTGATGGCTCTTTCTGTTTGCATATTCACTAATTTCATCTTCTGCTTTCTATATTTGCAAGGTCACTTTTACTATTTTACAGCTTTTAAGAAAATAGTTCTCTTTGTACAACTTCAATGATTAAAAATCTGTGATACAGGCAACACACTCTACTTTGAAATTTATAGCCAGTCAAAATTGTTCCTAATTAATTTAACTTGACTTTGCTTAAGTAGGAATTGCCTAAAAACCGTATCGTGATTTCAGTACTTAGATAAACATGCTATTATGAAAGTTTTATAGTAAATTTTTTTAAGGCAGTGTTTTCTTATATAAGAATAATGATGATAGTAACCTACATTTGGAACTTGCTGCTGTTTGTGAACAGAGTTGAGAATAGCAAATAGCTATCAACAAGTGGAAGCAAAATATATAGCCAGAGAGTTAGAGTCGTGACTGACACTATCAGGAGGCAAAATCAGAGTGGACTTTATTCGCATGGTAGCTTTTCCAAAAAGAAATCCAATTGCCAGAATACCAGTGTTATTAGAGCTTTTTTTTTATTTATATGTCGCTACTGAATTTTTGAGCATTTTGCCTGTGTGGAAGGGGCATTTGACTATCTCATCATTTTTGATTACTTTTGCCAGTTGCATTTTAGTTTGTGTTTATAAAGGACTGCATCTTACAAAGGGTGTATCTGCTTGACAGTGTTCCTCACATAACCTGATGGTTATAGGAAACTAAGAAAAGTTTGAATTTCTGATACTGATTCAGGGGACATTATGCTGAAATCAGTATGGATGCCTGGAAAAACAGTGATGTCTACATCTGAATTTCATTTGCATTATCTGTCCTTTTTGGAAGAATCACAATAAATGAAGCAATTTAGAATACAGCAAACAAAGTAATTAAGTGCTACAAAGGATAGTGTCTTAACCTCAAACCAGAAACCATTCAGAAATGCTGTTTACCTATCCATGGCAAAAATACCTAATAAAAATAAGGGTTTATTGATAAAGCATAACTTTTGTTTGCTGGCCACAACAGAAGCAGCTGCTGACTTACCTAAAGCCCACTGTGTAGG